ACCGCCCCCCCTGCCGTTGCAGGAAGGGGAGGGGACGCTGCCATTGACAACCCAAGCGGGCCTCTTAAAGGGGAAGCTCTGTTTGTCTTGGCCGGGGGGCGGGTGTCATCTCTACCCAGGTCAGTCCCTGAAGGGGGAGGGCTAAGGCAGGGTAACCCTAATACACCAGCATTTCGCATCGGGAGCTCAGCTGGGACTGCTCCATTACCACGTGGCACATACGAACACATACACGAATACTGACATCTAAACACACACACAGCTTGATGCACACAGATGTATCCCTTCTCCCTCACCACCTACACAGACATGGACACACAGAGAGAAGCTGGCACTACTCGCATCTGCATTTGACCACATACAAATATGTATGTGTTCATAGCTGTGTGGTCAAACCTGCAAATTACACATGCCCACTTAACTCCACGCATCTGTTCTTATGAACACACACTCTTGTGTTCAGACCAGCACTCACATACAAATACCCACAAATAACACACAGTCTAGACCTGTAATACACCTTCATAGTGTTGGGGTCACAGGGCATAATCCTAGGTAACTCGGGGGGAGTGGAAGATCACAAGGATCGATGAAGCCCCCCCCCCCGCTCTAGGCCCAAGCACCCTAAAAGCCCCCTTCCCTCCCCCAAGCATAACTTTTCTCTAGCTCACTAACAGCTGGGAACAGCAAAACAGCAAGACCTTGAAGTTGCTTAGTTACTATCAGTAATATAGAAGAAGAATTCAGATGTGTTTCTGTAAAGGGGGAGGAGGAGGAGGTCCCAGCGTGGGAATCTTGCTTGTTACAGTTCACTATTCTCCTGCAAGTAAACAACCTGGGTATATAAGGAGGGAAAACTGCTTACGTTGGTGTGCTTGATTTGAGATGTCTGGTCTCCTCGCACCTATTTGAACGTTCAAATAAACTTTGTTTTGCTTCTTATTGGAGTGCGCACACCGGGCAACGAACCCAGCTGTTGCCCCCCTCTCGGGCACTGTGTGCCGGCAGCAATAGGAACATGCTGACATGCCAATATCCTTCACAAATTCAAAATGTGATTCGTACAGGAGTAAGAGTTCTCAATACTCCACTAAATGATAAAGCTGGACTCTAGTGATAAAACTGTCAACTAGTGGTCAGATATTAGAATGATCTTCATTGATTAGTGGAATCCTATTGCTAGATTCGTGTTTCATTTCTGCAAAATTACAAAAGCCAGGGCTCCCGAGATGCCCAACCCTCAACTTTGGAACAAAGATTACCAGTAGCTGGAGTCTAGGAGCTGGATTCTATTCCTAGCTCTGCAACTGATTCATACATCCTTGGACAAGTCATTTGTCTTCTCCATGTCTCAGTGTAACCACCTGTAATACAATATTTACCTGCATCAAACAAGTAAGTATTCTATTTTATCTAGATTCTTATAGAGTTCATCACTACCTGACCATCTTACAAAATATACATAAACCCAACTGGAGAGTCCTATAATTCATTTTTCTCTTCCCTTTTTCATGAATAAGAGGGGTTTTTTAATGTATATAATGCTAGAGTTAATTCATTAATGTTTGATGCAAGGGTTGTTGCAGGACTGCTTTATAGCTATGTGTGTGTATGTGTAAATAGTTAAAAGATAAAGTGATAGTAGATGGCATCATGACTGTAGAGTAGGTCCTCTGGTTTGAAGAACCAACAAAACTTATAACTTCCATTGGTAGCTCTTTATATCAGCTTTTAACAAGGTTACATAAGGTATCAGAATTAATTCATTATATTAAATTATTTAAATTAATTAATATTTGTAATTTCTTTGAAACCCTAGAATGACAAGTACCACAGTCCACAGAGTTAGCTAAGATTAGCCTTCTGGGGTTGCACAATAGCCCATAAAACTTTTTCACTTTTCATGCATTTAAAATACATTCTGCAAAAGGCTAATAGTGGCATCTCTTTTGCACTTCTTTCTTTTGCTTTTTATTACATAGGAATTACTTTTTCTCTTCCTTCATAAAAATGCCCACCTCAACTAGTACTCAGGCTTCTAACACATATGGAACATAGATTGATCAAGGATGAAAGATTAATTGACTTTTGAAAAAAATCTATAAAATGACATTTATGTAAACAGTAGTTTTTATAAAGACATTGTCATAAAATTATAAATTACTAATCCTTAATTTAAAGACTAACAGCTTTGTTTGGGCATAAGATTTCGTGGGCAAAAACACACTTCATCAGATGCATGGAGTAGAAAATTCCATCCATTTTTCCACTCTACACATCAGACGAAGTGGGGTTTTGCCCACAAAAGCTTATGCGCAAATAAATATTGGTCTTTAAGGTGCCACAGGACTCCTTGTTGCCGTTGGAGATATAGACTAACACAGCTACCCCTCTGAGACTTGTAACCATTAATTTATATTTGTTTAAAGATATAATTTGGATCTAACTTGTCATTTGAATTCACACACATTTACAATTACTCAAGTCTCAGTTTCCCTTCTGCTGTTTCTCACAAAGATGTTGTGTAATAGTGCATGGGAAACAGGCAGGTGGGTTTCTATGCTCTCTCCTCTCTGCTGCGTATCCAACAGTGAGACAATACAAGAATACTAATGAGTATTGAATCCAGAAATTGGATTTATGTATGACACATTCAGTTCCAATTAGGACTGGAATTAACCAAATTGGCCTCCATACTTACTTATTGAGATTTCTGTGTCTGCATTGGGAATCTGGATGAGCATGAGAAATAGTTTCTGGATTTCTGTGCACCCCATAAGCACTTTAGAATGGTACTGTTTTGAATAAATAATGTCACATAAAATTTTGTTAAGGTAAAGTTATGATGGCAGGCATAATAGCAGTGCATATTACATGTTGAGTACAAAACTGTTAGGATTTTGTGACTAAAGACTACAAGTTAAATCAGTCAGCATGCTCCCTCTAGTGTCATAGAATCATAGAACACTAGGACTGGAAGGGACCTTGAGAGGTCATCGAGTCCAGTCCCCTGCCCTCATGGCAGGACCCAGTGTCACAGAAGGAAATTACAACATGGCTTCTCTAGTTCAGTCAAGAGAAAATACATAACTGACCTTGGGGCTCCCGCAGCTGGCTGTGTGGCTGCCCTGCCCCCTCCTCCTGAGTCCTCCAGCCCCTGTAATGTTGTGCTGCTCTTGGCTGCCACCTGGTGAGTGGCTGCTGCCCGTAGGCGAGGGGGAGAGCGGCCGGGGGATGGAGAGCCCAGAGTGGGAGGTGGGTGCACTCAGGTGGCGGATGGAACTGTGCCCCCCCCCACCTTCAGGTGGAGCACATTTGGGTTTCTGCCCACTTCTCCGGGCCAGCCAGCACAGGGCCACTGGGGCGCCTGAAGCTGTCCTCCACGGCCATGGAGATCTTCATATTTCCCCTGTCAGTCTTCCTCTCCAGCCCCACCATGGCGGTTCTGCTCCTGCACTGGGCCCCCAGCTCTGCCCCTTCCACCCAAGGCCCAAGGAACTTGTGTGTACTGTGAAATCAACAGCTAATTTCTAAGTTATTTGCAAAAAGAAAAAAAACTAGCGATTTCAGGTGCCTAAGTATCCTCTGGAGTCACAGTTAAAGTTGCCTCCCCCAGCCCTGTCACAATCTGAAATGGCCCCCTGGTGAGTCAGGAGTAGCCAGAGGGCTGCAGGAGGGCCATGGGTTCAAGCAAGATGCAGCCCCCATCTGACAGCATGGATCTCACCTTGAGCTGCAGGCCAAGCACCAGGCATAAGGGGCAAGTGCAGCTGTGGCTATGGAGCTGCCAGGGCTTCTGCAGAGCAGCACAAACTGTGGAGGAAGAACCCACTGAAGGGCAAGTGACCCACTCGGGATTTTTTACCCACTGTTCCATTTCACAATCTGATGCCATTCAAAGATAGCAGCCTGCCTTCTGTGCGTCATATCTTAGGGTAAATATTTAATCTACAATAACCCATTCCCCATGTAGCTCTTAAAGGAAGGGCTTGGCCAAGGACTGTGACAACTCCCTTTGCAAGAAAGAGAGACAATAGCCCTATACTCAGGGGAGCAAGGGACTGAGCAGCTTCCCTCATGTATCCTTAAGGATGGGTGTTGTCCTTTAATCTCTTAAAACTCCAATTACACATCTATGGATAGTGGTGTTAGGCCCTAGAGAATTGGGCCTAGTGCAGTTATGTTAAGACAGATCAAGGAAAGAGGTTAACAAAGGTTTCTGGGTAGTCCCTGAGCAGAACTAGAAATATGGCTCAAGCAAGGGGCAATCCCTACGTACTTGCTTAAGTTGCAAAATAAAGTAAGTGAAAGGCTGCGCCTGTGATGGGAACAGCTAGTTTGAGAACTGATAAGGTAACTCCCTGTTTCTGTTCTCACCCTGATCTTAACGAACTGTCTCTGCCCTCTGTTTGTTTTAACTCCCTGTCTCCTTGTTGTTTGGTACTTGCCTTCTGGGCTGATAAGAAAGCTGTTGACGCATTATGAATTGCTTAAGGCCATGAAGTATACGCATTAACACTAGAAGCTTCTAACTAATTAAGGGGGGCTGAGATGCTTGGGCAAATGTTTTATGACGCGACGGAACTGTCTATATAATCTTACTTGTTACTGAAATCGTGGCTGGTTCACTTGGGAGACGGGCCGCTCTCTATTGTAGTGCGCACTATTCAATAAAGAGCTTGTGATTGGATCTTGCTGGTGTTGCCTGTCTCTTTGCGGTCAGACAACGAACGGAGGCCGTCCGGGTTAAAGTCCCCGACAGTGGAAATTCCCAAAGGATATGATACAGAGTCCATCTTATTAATAGTAATAGAGATGTAGTCTGGTTACTACCAGATGTTAGTCTGGTGTAGCTGAAACAAAAGACAGGGCTATGCAGCACTTTAAAGACTAACAACATGGTTTATTAGGTGATGAGCTTTCGTGGGACTACAAAGGGAACCCTCAGAACTGTCATTCATGCTTAAATTTGACACTTTATGAATGGGCCGTAACAAAGATGCTAATTATCTTACCCATTACAAAGATAGCTTCCCCAAGTATCACCTCACATTCACACACACACTCATGTTAGTCTTTAAAGTGCTGCATAGTCCCGTCTTTTGTTTCATCTTATTAATGTTTGAAAGAGTACCTCTGCTGAAGATTACTTACCTCCTGTTTTTAAATTACAAACTCAAAACCAAAATGAATAAAATAAGTCTTTAGTTTGTTTTCAGATATTAATTCTGCAATAATGGACCAGCAAGAAGGAAAGCCTATCTATAAATGATCCTTTGTCATAGCATTTTATGTAACCATATTTTATGTTACTGGCTAGAGCAAGTAAGAGACAAGTTCTGGGCAGAAAGATCTGTTGTTCTGTTTAGCATTTTGAAGTTGATTCCTTCCCCCCCTCCCCCAAATCATGTGATGTGAAATAGTGTAACAAACATGGAGGTGTTTTGTATTTCAGGAAACTTGGGAGGAAACAACTTTGCCAGTACCTACAAAGAAGATGTCAGGAGCACAGAACAGGAAAGGAAAAGCTGAGATAATGAGTGCAATGAAGAAAGATGCAGACACAATGGAAAAATACTTGAAATCTGTTCATAGCAATCCATGCAGTAGGAGCCAGAGCCAGAGCCAGACAAACAGCGAGAGGCAAACAGAAGAGGTCCTTCCCCAGGCCTTAGGGAGAAGGTATTGTGGGAGTGGTTGGGGAAGTGGCCCAGGGAAAAGGCTACTATATGGTGGGGACAGGGGCAAGAGCCCCACTGGTAACCGCTACCTAGGGTCCCTGGGCCAGAACCCCAAGTAAGTGGGAGGGCCCAAATTCCCCCCAACCTTTCCCCACATCTGGTTGACTGCCACCGAGAGAAAAGGGAAACTTTTGGGCTGTGAAAGGGTCTTTTCCCTCCCAGCTAATGACTGGCCGATGAAGAAAAGGGCTCGTTAAGTGGGGAACCCTCGCCTCTTAAGCACTGAGAGGCAGTGGGAGGGTCGCCGTGAGCCTCTGAGGCTTCTTAAGAACTGCCAGGAAGCTCAGGACCCAGGGAGCACAGCCAGTGATCTGCTACAGGAGGTGCCAGATCATTACTGTGGAAAAAGAATCCAGAATGAGATAATTGAATTGTTGGTGAGGAAAGTACTACAAGATATTATTAAAAGGTTAAAGAGTGCCAAGTACTACACTGTGATATTGAACTGCACTTCAGATGCTTCAGAGGGGTAGGTCTTTAAAGTGCTACCAGACTATTTGTTGTTTTTTAAGTTTATCCTGCACTTCAGATGTAAGCCATTCCAAAAACATGTCTTTCACTGTTAGGTTTCTTGGCACTTCAGATGGTAAAGTGACCATTCAGGAACACTTTATTGGTTTTAAAACAGTAGACAAGACCACAAGGGAAGGACTAACTGATACTATACTCACTACTCTGAAGGAATGTGACAAATATCCAGTAGTAATAGAGATGAAGCCGTGTTAGTCTAGTCTTGCTGAAACAAAAAACAGGACTATGTAGCACTTTAAAGACTAACAAGATGGTTTATTAGATGATGAGCTTTCATGGGCCAGACCCACTTCCTCAGATCAAATTGTAGAAGAAAATTGGCACGACCATATATACCAAAGGGATACAATCAAAAAAAGTGAACACATATAACACTGGTTGATGACGAGGGTCTCCAGGATCTCCTCTGGGCTACTGTAGCCAGACAGGAACCCCCCCTGTAACATCCATCTTTGCTTGCCTGGAAGCATACAGGGCACACAGAGCAGTAAAATCAGCATCGTCTTTGAAGCCAGAAGGCCCAGATATGCTGGCTGCTGTGACCCTGGATGGCTGTAAACAGAGATACGCCAATTGTTGACCTCGAGGCTGCGAGAACTGCCTTGACTGAAACCTATATTGATACGAACACACACTGTCCGGGGGGAGAGATCGCCCACTAAGAAAAGAATGCCCAGTACTCCCAATTTAGTTCTCTCTCTTGCAAGTGTAAATTAAGTTGAAACTCCCTTGTAAGAACTGGCGTCACAAAGACAGACCAACACAATTTGGCATCTTAGATAAGAAAGAGGATACAGGCCCCTATGAGTATAAAGATGGGTCCGGCAGCACACTTACTCTGAGCGTCAATCTACCATCTATCTGCTGGTCGGGTTAGGTGATTGGCCTCCCGAGGTTCCACAGGGACACCCACCTCGTATTTGTCTTTCCTAGGAATTGAGGGACCGGCCCTGACCTGATACGCTGGAGTCGAGAGACGCAGAAGGGGGTAAAAATTGTACCTGGATGTGTCCTTTGTCTTAAGTGTACACATAGACTTAGAGCTCTTTAAAGATTAAGCTGTCACTTGGTACCATTATTTCTATTTTCTATCTTTATTTTCTTTGTAACCATTTTTAAGATCTATATTTGCTAGCAGTTAAGAAATAGAGCAATAGCCATTGTAACCATATGATTTATAAGTTTTTGTAATAAACCTGTAACTGTTTAAGCTTTAACCTGACTCCTTCAGTTGCTGTAACAGAACAAAGCACAATTTAAAAGAACTCCAGCCGGTCATAAGGGACAGATACAGGCAGAGCTGGGCAGTTGGATCGTGTCGCTTCCAGAGGACAGATCCGTGGGGCATCTCTCAGCCTTCCCTAGGCTGCCCGCTGCGAAGGGATCACGTATCCTAGCAGTCAAAGTCTGAGGTGTAATAAGATCTCCCTGTAAACTCTGGGGCGTCTGTCAGCCTGGTCCTAGCAGTCAAAGACACAGACGTTAAACTTCTCGGGGCGCCTGTCGGTCTTTCCTAAGGCTGCCCGCTGCGACAGGACCTTGTGTCCCAGCAGTTGAAGACTCGGGTGTAACACACACACACTGCCCTGACCATCAGCTGACAGCTACGTACAGCGGGGCGCAGCCATTTCCAGGCGAGATGAACCACCTCAAACTGTTGGGCCCTCGGGGGTTTTCCCTCTTGGCACTTCCAGTCATGGTATCTCTGGGCCCGGGCTGCAGCAGTTACCCCTGCACGAGCCAGGATCTCCTCCTTGAGCCGAGGGTAGCTGGCTGCGTCCTCAGCTAGCAGATCGTAGTAGGCCCCCTGTGCTTCCCCACAGAGGAATGGTGCACATATGCTGGCACACTGCCCCTCTGGCCACGCCTCGCAGTGGGCGGCCCGCTCGAAGGCCAGGAGATAGGCCTCTACATCATCTCCCCACGTCATCCTGGGGAGGCAATTTGTGGCCTTCACAGCCACTGATCCCTCTACGAGTGTTCCTAGCCAGTCCACCACCTCTCGGAGGAGGGCTCGGTCTGCAGCTGCCTGGCTCATGAGTAGCTGGTTTGTTTCCTGTTGTAGCCTAGAGACCTCCTGCATAGCCAGCCTCTGTACCGGGTGGCCTCCTGCTGGGCAGCTGTGCCCTGTACTAAGCCCTTCATCAAGTCCTCCATTGTAATGTACCCCCAAGTCCTTCACCAAGTAGGGCACTGGGGGCAGGGGGAGAGGAGACCCCCCACAAAACACCACCACCATGCACACCCCGCCTTATTTTTGTTGTGCTTTTTTGCTTGGTTGTTTTTTGCCCCTTCAAAGGAAAAACCCACTGTGCTGTGACCGAAATCCCACCCTTGACACCAGTTGTGCTGAGTCTGGGCAACGCCCCTGGGTCCTGTGCTTCCTGGTGGGGTCTTTGCATGTGCCTCAGAGGCTCACGGTGTTCCTACCACTGCTGAGGAGGCCAGGGTACGCAGCTCCAAGAGCCCTTTTCATCATAGGCAAGTCCGGGTTTTGGAGGTCAGTCCCTCTGATAGTCCAAGGGTCTTCCTTTCCTTGCTGGTGGCCCACCAGGCAGGAGGAGGATTGGGGGGAACCTGGTCCCACCTACTTGCTCTGGGGTCCAGCCCAGGGCCCTATGCGGTAGCCCTGAGTGGGGCTGAGACCTGGCCCTTGCCCCACTGACTAGCAGCCCCTCCCTGGGCCACTTCCCCAACCACTCCCTGGGTACTTCCTCTCTGGTATCTTGGAACAGGCCCCTTTAGTTTGCTGCCTTCAGGGCTTGCCTTCCACTGAACTCTGCCCCACCTCTGGTCCCTCTCTTTTCTCCTTTCCTTGCCTTGCCTGAGGGAAGGTTTTTATGGTGCACCCATAGGCCTTAACTGGTGGCAGGTGTTCTAATTAAGCTTCACTCCAGGCTAACTCCAGATGGGCTTCAGGTGCCCATCTGACCTAATGGCTGAGCAGTGGTCTCTGGCAGCCTATGCAGGGAACAGGAGTCCACTTACTCAACTCCTGGTGTGTCTGTCCTCCACCAAACTCCTGCAGCCACCTGCTTCCAGGCTGCCATACATCCTCCTTCCCCTTCACCCCTCATCTCTTCCTTTTTGGGAGGGATGAGTGTGTGTGTGTATGGGGGGAGGGGGCTACTGCTGTTGTGGCAGGCAGGCCTCAGCACCACCCATGCAGGGAACAGGAGTCCACTTACTCAACTCCTGGTGTGTCTGTCCTCCACCAAACTCCTGCAGCCACCTGCTTCCAGGCTGCCATACATCCTCCTTCCCCTTCACCCCTCATCTCTTCCTTTTTGGGAGGGATGAGTGTGTGTGTGTATGGGGGGAGGGGGCTACTGCTGTTGTGGCAGGCAGGCCTCAGCACCACCCATATTCTGGGCCAGGCCCCCTCTTCTCTTGACCTGCTTTGTTTGCTGGCACTATTGTCCTCTCCCAATTGTTTGTTCCTGTCCTTCTCTCCCCACCCATGACTGCAGTGGAGGGGCTGTCTTGTGATACCCCTGCCGCCCCTTCCCCAACCCTCCTCACATCTACCTCTGCCAA